TCACCTGTGTGAATTCTGTTGTGAGAAGTTAAGTTGTTTTTTTGAGTGAAACTTCTTCCACAAATCCCACATGAGAAAGGTTTCTCACCTGTGTGAGATCTCATGTGAACAGTTAAATTTTGCTTTTGAGAGAAACTTTTTCCACAGGTCTCACATGAGAAAGGTTTCTCACCTGTGTGAGATTTCATGTGAAGAGTTAAATTTTGCTTTTGAGTGAAACTTTTTCCACAGGTCTCACATGAGAAAGGTTTCTCACCGGTGTGAACTCTGATGTGATTAACTAACTTAGATTTCTTCTGAAAACATTTTCCACAAGTTTCACAAGAGAAACGATTCTCACCTGTATGAATCGTATGAGCAAGTAACTCACATTTAGACACAACATTTTTTCCACAGATTGTGCATGTGTAAGATTTCTCAACAAAGAAAATTTTCTTGTGTCTGTTTAAAGAGTCGTTTAGATGGAAACATTTTCCACAAGCTGCACAAGTGAACGGTTTTTCACCTGTATGAGTTCTCATGTGATCATTTAAACGACTCTTTTGAGGGTAAAGTTTTCCACAGGTGGAACATTTAAAAGGTTTCTTAGCCGTGTGAGTTTTCTTGTGATTCATCAAAGAATTATTTCTAGAAAAGGTTTTATCACAAATTTGACAAGAATATAGATTTTGGTCTGGTTGAGCTTTCATGTGCGTTTCTTGTTCTGAAGTCTCTGTTGAGTTTTCTGCTGTTTGTTCAAAATGTCATCAGTTTCCTGTTTCATCACAAGATGCTCTTCATCCTGACTAATGCAAAGTTGCTCCTCTTCCTCTTTGATCTGCAGAGGTTCTGGTTCCTCTTGTTCCAGTTTTATCTGCAGAGGTTCTGGTTCCTCTTGATCTGATTTTATCTGCAGGTTCTGGTTCCTCTTGATCCCGTTTCATCTGCAGAGGTTCTGGTTCCTCTTGTTCCAGTTTTATCTGCAGAGGTTCTGGTTCCTCTTGATCCAGTTTCATCTGCAGAGGTTCTGGTTCCTCTTGTTCCAGTTTTATCTGCAGAGGTTCTGGTTCCTCTTGATCCAGTTTTATCTGCAGAGGTTCTGGTTCCTCTTGTTCCTGTTTCATCTGCAGAGGTTCTGGTTCCTCTTGTTCCAGTTTTATCTGCAGAGGTTCTGGTTCCTCTTGATCCAGTTTTATCTGCAGAGGTTCTGGTTCCTCTTGTTCCTGTTTCATCTGCAGAGGTTCTGGTTCCTCTTTTTCCAGTTTTATCTGCAGAGGTTCTGGTTCCTCTTTTTCCAGTTTCATCTGCAGAGGTTCTGGATGATCTTGATCTGAAGTGAAGTTTCTCTCCGGGTTTCTGAGCTCATTTAGATCCTCCTCCTCTTTGCACACACTGCATTGTGGGAGATCTGGACAAAAAAAAGTCAGAATGTGAGGTCACACAATGAACTCTTCAGTTTAACAAAAACTGAAATGAAAATATTCCTCAGCAAGGGGCGTGCTGTAGTAGCGCAACCCACGATTTGAGGCCTTCAATCCTCCACACGGCCGTCACGGGTTTGATTTCCGGACCCGACAATATTTGCCGCATGTCTTTCCTTACTACATTCCTGTCAGCCTTGTTCTTATAAGGGACACTAGAGCCCACAGAAACCCCCAGGAGGGGAAAATGTAAAGATATTCTCAGCAAACATTATAAAATGAAATCTCTTCCATCGTCTTTCAGAGAGATTGTTATTTATCTTATTTAGAATAAACAATGTCTGCATGTGGTTAATAATTTTACCAGCAATTAAACTTTAGTGCCGTCAAATGTGCCAACATTTGGAAATATGCAGTCTGGCTAGCTGACGTTAACTCCCCTTCAAGATTCGCTTCTCACCAACAGGGACGTTACACCATATTCTGTGACCACTGCACATTGTGACTGTAGGGCGCTGTTGCAGGTTTACATCATACTTTGCTATTCTTATGGACACAGAATATGATGGCGCTTATCAAATAATGGTCCCACACTGTAACTTACAGTAAAGTACTAAATATTTAAACTGAACCGTCTCTATTAACTCTGCTTGCTAAGTCAATATCTGACCATTAGTATTATGACATTTCTTTTTAGTTAAATGAAACGGCCCTTTAAATAGCTTTACATAGTGTTATAGTCAAGACCATCTAAGCAAAGACCAAGACCAGCCGCCACATGACAATAAAATGTGAAATATTAGCAAAAGTGCTAATCAAATTGGTCTGAAAGATCCACATTCCCATAAAAACAAATCAATTTAACCAATATTATCAATTCACACTCTTTGTTCTACTTTGCTCTGTGCTACAATCCATGGAAGTCTCATGCCAACCCTAAAAGTTAACGCCTGGGCGGTTGCCCATATTTCTCATATCAGAAACCACCATTGTCTGCACTATTAAACATAGCAATTAAGGCAATGCACTAGTGGTAAACAACGCTCCATCAAGAACACAGACCAAGGAGCAACAGCAGAAATAACCAAACACTGTGACAGTTCTCACTTTTTCTCCTGCTGCATGAAGCCAGGCAGCACAGAACTATCACAGAGCAATGAGCATGCTCTGTGTGCTCTGGTTTTATTGATTCACCAATTAAATTAATATCAATGTATACAATCAATTAAAATAATGACAGCTACTGCAGCTGTTTCGTACCTATCCGCTGCAAGATGATCTTGGGTATCCGGGTAAAATCCATCAGTCTGCGCTGATCGTCCATCTCTTCCTCCATCTTAACGTTGATTTCTTTCCACTCTGTGAATGTTTCTTCAGCAGGAGTTTCCTGCTGCTTGATAAACTCTCTGAGGCTGAACTGAAGACATTTTTCCATTAAACACAGAATATTTAACTAAACTGCAAAACAGTCTTCAAGAGGAAAAGTAAAGCCAGACATTTGCTCTGTTTTTATTTTTCACGTGTTTCACTGTTGCTGTGCTGAAGAAAACTGGAAGTGATTATTAGTTTGGCTTTAAATTTTCTGCTGAGTCTCTTCTTTTAAAGTCCTGGAGGGCTGATGCCCTGAAACCTTTAGCTGAGCCTCTGCTGCACCACCTGAATAGAGTAATTAGGTCATTAAGGCTCTGCAGATCTGATCCACACAAGGAGGAGGTAATTATGGTGATTTCATTGCAGTGTTTTGTACCTGTGGCTCATCTAAACACTGCAGGTCACCTTGAGGACTGGAGTTTGACACCTGTGGTTTAGTTACAATAGATCAGTCTGGAGAAAACACTGATGATGTTTTGTTGTTCTTGCAATAACTAATAAAATCCTGATTCTGTGAAAGTCACATATATATTTTCTATTTTTATAAAGATATTTCAGATAAGTATGAAGTTAACCAGGATGCTTTTATTGTTCTGTTGGTTTAAATTTAAAGCCTTTAGTTAATATTTAGAGGTAGATTTATTTAACCTTCCTAATTTTACTTTAATAAATTGCTGCACTTTTAGCTGCTGTTCAATCTGCCAGGTTTCTGCAACCTGGATCTCTGGAGACTCAAGTGGCTCTTTGGCTCATTTATTATATCAAATTATTAAATATTGATCTGTTGTTTTGTTTCATTCTTTTTTAAGTGTCGTCATGAAACCAATCACATTGGCCCTTGTGGTAAATTTGGCCTCTAAACCAACTCCTTATTGGTATCAATATTTTCAGTAATACTCTTTAAAATACCAGAATATTCACATAACTGTTATACTTTTGTCAGTCTGAGGACACTGAATATTGAATTAGGTGTTATGATCAGTTACTCAGTAATTCACCAAATACTTCAAAAGAAAATACAGAGGAAGAACATTGTTCCAGCAGGAATATTAAATAAATAGAATGATAAAAACTGACCTTTACTATTATATAAGATCAAAATATAGTTTATGTTCCATGACTCCTTCACTTCTAACTCACAGTTTAAGTACTGAAGGTTGTTTAAAATGATTAATTGTACTTGCTTTGAATTTTAAAGTTTTGATTATTTAGGTTCATTCTTTGTTAAATTATGGCTCATTTTGTTTTATCTCTTATTAGTATAAATATAGAACTCAGTCTGTTAAGTGTTGAATGAAAAGAATATCGACTTTATTAGAATGTATGCAAACGTTGAGGAAGAGATGATCTCTGTGGACTGCTGCTGTTTATGTATATGAAGGTTTTCCTGATTACTTTTTGTTTTAAACAGGTTTTATTCCAGCCTCTATAATTATGTAAATCTAGTCTTTCACACAGTTTTCTACTAAACAGAAAAAAGAAAAGGATCATCATTATAATAGTTTATTTTCTAAAATTATATAAATAGTTTCAATCTGAAATTCAATTCATATCATCAATACATTTTCTAAGCAGGAAAATTATTAAAACCATGTCAAAGAAATGCATCCATTTCTCCAAATCATTGAAATAAAATAAATTAGTACAAAGAATAAAAACACAAAGTTTCCAACAATTTAGAAGTCTAACTCTCAAAGCATTTAAAGTCATCGTTTCTTTAGAGACAATCTCTCCCTCAGTCTGATTAAATAAAATAGAAATATAAAACTGCCAGAATAAAATCCAAGTCGGTTGCAATTACTCCACTTCCAAACAGCAACTTACTGAGAATCTTGAGGTTCACATTGTGCCATCAAACCTGTGCAAGTTCTCATGTGAACAGTTACATTTATTTAGAGTGAACCTTTTTCTAATGAATCTACAAAATAAAAGCTTCCAACCCGTGTGAATCTTCATGTGATGACTTAAACTGGATCTATACACAAAACATTTTCCTCGCTTTTCACTAAGGGTGCAGACATGACATGGTGAGCTGGTCTAATAGTCAAACCTCACAGCGGAGAACAGAACAGTGGCTGAGGTCATAACGTTGAGGAATCAGATCAGCTTCACATGCATGTATCTGCTGCTCACCAATGTCCCAAAATTAAGGAAATCAACATTTATTAATCAGCCAGCTGATAGATTAATGCACAGCTACTTCTCACCAGTGTGAATTCTGTTGTGAGATGTTAAGTGCTGTTTTTGACTGAAACTTTTCCCACAAATCACACATGAGAAAGGCTTCTCACCAGTATGAATTCTCCTGTGACGTTCTAAACTTTTTTTATAAGGGAAACTTTTCCCACAAATCACACATGAGAAAGGCTTCTCACCTGTGTGAGATCTCATGTGATTTCGTAAATCAGACCTAAAAGCAAAACTTTTCCCACAGGTAGCACATGAGAAAGGCTTCTCCCCTGTGTGAGTTCTCATATGAGAATTTAAAGTTTTTTCATAAGGGAAACATTTCCCACAAGTTCCACATAAGAAAGGCTTCTCACCTGTATGAGTTACCATGTGAGCAGTTAAGCTGGTTTTATGAGTGAAACTTTTTCCACAAATCTCGCATGAGAAAGGCTTCTCACCAGTGTGAATTCTCACGTGAAGTTTTAAACTTTTTTTATAAGTGAAACATTTTCCACAGGCCCCACATGAGAAAGGTTTCTCACCTGTGTGAATTCTGTTGTGAAAAGTTAAGTTCTTTTTTGAGTGAAACTTTTTCCACAAATCCCACATGAGAAAGGTTTCTCACCTGTGTGAGATCTCATGTTGAACTAATGAGATCTAGTCAAACAATTTCTTCCACAAGTGCCACAATTGAGAACCTTCTCACCCGTGTGACATCTCATGTGAACAGTTAAGCTTTCCTTTCGAGTGAAACTTTTTCCACAGTTCTCACATGAGAAAGGTTTCTCACCCGTGTGACATCTCATGTGAACAGTTAAGCTTTCCTTTCGTGTGAAACTTTTTCCACAGTTCTCACATGAGAAAGGTTTCTCACCCGTGTGACATCTCATGTGAACAGTTAAGCTTTCCTTTCGAGTGAAACTTTTTCCACAGTTCTCACATGAGAAAGGTTTCTCACCTGTGTGAGATCTCATGTGATGAACTAATTGAGATCTAGTCAAACAATTTCTTCCACAAGTGCCACAATTGAGAACCTTCTCACCCGTGTGACATCTCATGTGAACAGTTAAACTTTGCTTTCGAGTGAAACTTTTCCCACAAGTCTCACAAGAGAAAGATTTCTCACCTGTATGAATCTCAATATGAGCAAGTAAATGAGATTTAAACAAAAAACTTTTCCCACAGGTTGTGCAGGTGTAAGGTTTCTCACCCGAGTGAATTATCTTGTGTCTGTTTAAAGAGTCGTTTAGACGGAAACCTTTTCCACAAGCTGGACAAGTGAACGGTTTTCACCTGTATGAATTCTCATGTGATCAATTAAACGACTCTCTTTAGGGTAACGTTTTCCACAGGTGGAACATTTGAAATGTTTCTTAGCTGTGTGAGTTTTCTTGTGATTCATCAAGGAACTATTTCGAGAAAAGGTTTTATCACAAATTTTACAAGAATATAGATTTTGGTCTGGTTGAGCTTTCATGTGCGTTTCTTGTTCTGAAGTCTCTGTTGAGTTTTTCTGCTGTTTGTTCAAAATGTCATCAGTTTCCTGTTTCATCACAAGATTCTCTTCATCCTGACTGATGGAAAGTTGCTCCTCTTCCTCTTTGATCTGCAGAGGTTCTGGTTCGTCTTGTTCCAGTTTCATCTGCAGAGGTTCTGGTTCCTCTTGTTCCTGTTTCATCTGCAGAGGTTCTGGTTCCTCTTGTTCCTGTTTCATCTGCAGAGGTTCTGGTTCCTCTTGATCCAGTTTCATCTGCAGAGGCTCTGGTTCCTCTTGTTCCCTTTTCATCTGCAGAGGTTCTGGTTCCTCTTGTTCCCGTTTTATCTGCAGAGGTTCTGGATGATCTTGATCTGAAGTGAAGTTTCTCTCCGGGTTTCTGAGCTCATTTAGATCCTCCTCCTCTTTGCACACACTGCATTGTGGGAGATCTGGACAAAAAAGTCAAAATGTGAGGTCACACAATGAACCCATCAGTTTAACAAAAACTAAAATGAAAATCTTCATCAGGGGTCGTGCTGTGGTAGCACAACCCACGTTTGGAGGCCTTCAATCCTCCACACGGCCGTCACGGGTTTGATTCCCGGTCCAGACAATATTTGTTGAATGTCTTTCCTTACCAGATTCCTGTCAGCCTTCTTTTATCTGTGTATCGTTTCACTATAAATGGTTCACTTATTTGCATAAATTAAAATGCAAAATATCTAAACAGAACAAGATCTTATGAAATAGGAGCGTATCGCTGCACACATTTAATGAGCACAAGCTGCCGGTCTGTGTATCGTTTCACTATAAATGGTTCACTATTTAGCGGCACTGAAGTGAAAGTGCTGAGCAAACCTTATCAGGGGGGAAAGTGAGAGAAAACGGTGGATTGAAATCCACCGTGAGAGTCAGATGTGAGGATTAAGGGGTAAACTGCTGGAGAAAAAGCAGCAGGATAAAGCAGAGCAGAATTTAAACATGGAAGAGACGCAGCCGGATCCGGTTTGAGACCAAAACAACGAGGTGCGCCGCCTCACTGACTGATATTGGAAATCAATGTGAGCCTTTAAACCAATCAGCAGGAGCAGATAAGTTATCCTGTTCAGGTCGATATTTATTACACCGATCCACTGAAACATGTAGATACACATTAGTGGTGTTTTACATCATTTCCTGATGTTTTGAAGCTGATTTTTTTAGACTCCACTGGTGTGAATAGGTTTACATGGACAAAATGTAAACAAAAATAACTCTTTAAAAAACTTGAATTGATATGAGCTTGAACATTTAATTTCAATTTGGGGTCAAAAGAGTATTTTTGAATTTGACTGATATTTTATCAGATGTTTTTGAGATTGATTGATGTATTTTGTTATCATCAGGAGAAAGGTCAAAGGCAGAAGAGATAGATTATGATAAAAAAAAACACTAAAAGATCTGAATAATTCATCAATAACAAAATACATCAATCAATCTCAAAAACATCTGATAAAATATTAAACATTTGAAATATCTAGTGAACTGTGATCCTGAAATCTGGAATCAACTCCCTCTCTCATGGCAACTAAACAACAATATATATTGCGATAGACTTGATCAGCATCAGTAAACAAAACATTAGATCCACACCTCAGGATGGGTTTAGAGGAATCAATAAACCTAACAGTCATGCTTTTGGACTTTGGGAGGAAGCCGGAGTACCCGGGAGAACCCACACAAGCAAGGGAGAACATGCAATATTCGTGCAAAAAGACTCGGCATGAAGCCCCGGAGGTCAGCCGGAGAGTATCTGATGACCTGGCGACAAGGAGATTAGAATCTGATGGTCTGGGAACTCGAGGCCTCAAGTTCCCATGGCACCGCAGTCCTGCGGGCCCAAGCTCTCCTGCCAGCATCTTCTGCCATCAGCCCCTAAGTGTCAAGCTCCCTTGACACTGCAGTCCTTTCTAATTAGAATTCAACCCAGTACTTCGCAGTACCTGCTCGGTATGTGTGCAGAATAGAATTGGAGATCCCTCCGATCAGACGTGCGATTACTGACCGCTGCTCCTGTGGCTGGTCTGAAACCGACTGGCTGTCTTCGTGGGTTTCCTCTTCAGGTGGCTGCCGGTTCTGCTGTTCTACTCTGTCCCTCGTCTTTTTGGTCTGCTTTTCCTCTTCCGAGACATTTCCGCGACTTCTCAGCTTCAGGTCGGTGTTTTCCTGTTCATAGGCGGTGTTTATATTCTCCAAGGCGATGGTTTTCTGCTCCAGGGCCAAGCTTTTCAGCTGCAGGGCGGTGCTCATTTTCACCAAGGCAGCGCTTCTTTTCTCCAGAGCGAAGCTTTTCAGCTTCAGGCCGGTGTTTTCCTTCTCCAGAGAGATTTTAACCTCCTCCAAAGCGGTGTTTTTCTGCCCCAGGGTGGTGTTTTCTTGCTTGAAGGTGGTGTTTATTTGTGCCAAGGCAGTGGTTTTCTGCTCCAGGGCACGTTTTTGCTGCTCCAAGGTATTGATTTTCTCATCCAAGAAGGTGCTTTTCTGCTCCAGAGCGGTGCTTTTCTGCTTCAAGGAGGTTTACCTTCTGCAGGGAAGTGTTTGCCTGCTCCAGCGCGGTACTTTCTTGCACCAGAGCGGTTTTTCCTTCTCCATGGCGGTGTTCTTTAGCTCCAAGGCGATGCTTTTTTTCTCCAGAGTGCTCTTCATTTTCTCCAAGGCAGAGTTTTTCTCCTCCAAAGCTCTCTTTTCGATCTCTAAGGCTGCGTTTTTCTGACCCATTGCAATATATTTTTTCTCCAGATCGTCATTCTTCTTCTCCAAGATGGTGTTTTGTGTCTCTAACGCTGTGTTTCTCTCTCCAAGGCAGTCTTTTCGATCTTTAAGGCAGTATATTTCTCCTCCAAGGTGGCCTGTTTCTTCTCTATCGGCGATATCTTCCTTTAAAGTTTTATTTCCTCCAACTGTTTTTTCAAGTCTTCGTCTTTCTGCCGAAGGAGAGCGTCTACTTCAAGCGCAGCTTTTTTCACGTTGAGAACTTGGATGTTCAGCTCCTCATTGGCTTTCAGCAGAGACTTTCGCTCAATGGACATCATGCTGACTGTTCCAAAATGTCATTGAGCTGCTGCGTCTGTCTCGCTATGATCCGTTGCAATTCCTTGTCTTTGCAATCAGTAGACTTATTCATCTTACTGCTCTTATTCATTTTTAACTCTTTCTCTCTGGACAAATTCGAAAATCGATCAGAAAATGTACTAACTGTACTAACACGCGAATAATACAATCCTTGTGCTTTCTCTCCAACTGCTGCAATAGCTATGACCGTAGATTCAGAAGTGATGCATTGTCTCTCCACAAAGGGTGCATCACTTTGTGACATCAAATTCTGTGATGTCACAAACTGATGTCACCACCTCAGAAGGACAACAAGAAAACTGCTGAAGTTTGAATAAAAACAAAACTTTACGACTGAATGCAGCTCGGCTCGCTGATGCGATTCTGGAACGAACCGAACGTTAAAGATGGCGTCAAAGTGAGGACGGTTGAGAGCGGTTACCCCAGACAAGGCAAGAGTAAAAAGAAGCAGTAATTCATTGCAGGAAATGCAGCCGGACGAGACGGGAGAAAAGTAAAAAACCAAGAGTTTAGACTGAAAAATAGAGAAAACAGGCGCAGTGAAGAAAATCCCAGGTGAGGAGCCAGTAAGATGGTTTTTTAAACTGGGACTCCAGCCGAGTACGAACAATCCGTTTGTATATTGGCTCTGTTGAAAAACTTTAACAATAAGAAATTGGTAAAAACTTTAACTTTTGGTACAATATAGTAAAAAGTACATATTTTATTTAGCCAATGTATATATATTTATTAACTTTCAGAGTTTAAAATCAACACCTTCAATATCTGTAATTATTCTTGATTTTGATTTAATTATAACGTTTGAATTAACATCTGTATGTATGTTCATGTTATTTGTTTGAAATAAAGTTAAAAAAAACACTCGGTTACCTAGCAACGAGTTCCGTTGAGCAACTGACAGTCGCAGTTTAAAGTTTCACCACTTTTCTCATAACTGGTTAAAAATAAAAAACAACGGCGCAGAGTGAAAACTGGATGAAAGAGGAAGGATTCCCATATTTAAACATAGCAATTAAGGCAATGCACTAGTGGTAAACAACGCTCCATCAAGAACACAGACCAAGGAGCAACAAGCAGAAATAACCAAACACTGTGACAGTTCTCACTTTTTCTCCTGCTGCATGAAGCCAGGCAGCACAGAACTATCACAGAGCAATGAGCATGCTCTGTGTGCTCTGGTTTTATTGATTCACCAATTAAATTAATATCAATGTATACAATCAATTAAAATAATGACAGCTACTGCAGCTGTTTCGTACCTATCCGGTGCAAGATGATCTTGGGTATCCGGGTAAAATCCATCAGTCTGCACTGATCGTCCATCTCTTCCTCCATCTTAACGTTGATTTCTTTCCACTCTGTGAATGTTTCTTCAGCAGGAGTTTCCTGCTGCTTGATAAACTCTCTGAGGCTGAACTGAAGACATTTTTACTGAAAACACAGAAACATTTAACTAAACTGCAAAACAGTCTTTAAGAGGAAAAGTAAAACCAGATATTGCTCTGTTTTTATTTTTACGTGTTTTACTGTTGCTGTGCTGAAGAAACTGGAAGTGATTAGTTTGGCTTTAAATTTTCTGCTGAGTCTCTTCTTTTAAAGTCCTGGAGGGCTGATGCCCTGAAACCTTTAGCTGAGCCTCTGCTGCACCACCTGAATAGAGTAATTAGGTCATTAAGGCTCTGCAGATCTGATCCACACAAGGAGGTAATTATGGTGATTTCATTGCAGTGTTTTGTACCTGTGGCTCATCTAAACACTGCAGGTCACCTTGAGGACTGGAGTTTGACACCTGTGGTTTAGTCAGAACTCCTGCTGAAGAAACATCCACAGAGTGGAAATAAATCAACGTTAAGATGCAGGAAGAGATGAACGATCAGCTCAGATCAGTCTGGAAAAACACTGATGATGACAATAACTGTTTGATTACCTTGGTAACTAAGAGTGATAGCAAATTAGAGTAAATTCTTTCTGATTCATTTCCTTTTTTCCATTACTATTCATTCAGTTCCTCAGTTGATCCGAGTGAAACACAGTATAATTTTTTTCAAGTCATTTTAATTAATTATTAAGTTTTATGTTTTTTTAAACACATTTACTAACGTTTTTTTTTTAAAATATATGTAAATGTTTATATTAAACTTTCAATATATAATAAAAACATTTTAAATCAGAAATGTGACACAGAAGCCCCTTTATGCTGCCACCTACTGACAAGAACCTGGTACTACACCTTCAAAGAGCTATTTTTCTACAGTTGTGCGACTGAATTCATTTCCATGGATTTTATATGCAGGAGTATGTTTAAACAGTCATGTTCAATAACATGGAATCAGACCAACAACAAAAAAATTGTATTTCATAAATGTGTGTTTGAAGTCAGTTATCTATTGTGAGACGTTTTTTTAATTTTATTTCAAATGTTCAAGTTGAATACATTACTCTAAACCACATGTGGCTTCATACTGTTTAACTTTAAAAATGAATCAGAACCTACAAACTAAAACCTCCTGTGTCGATATAATAACTGTACGTGCTTTGTTCTAATTAAACAGATCTAATCATGCTCAATAAATTAAATATGAAAGAAAATGTGGTATATTAAAGCGGAACTTTTGAATCGTTCAGTTTCTTCAGTACAGTTCCAGTGAAACACGGGGAACATTTCTGAATATATTTTTATTTAATAAATCACCTTAAGAAAACGAAATTGGTAGAAAGAATATTTTATTTATAATAATAAATAATAATAATAATAATAATAATAATAATAATAATAATAATAATAATAATAAATAATAATAATAATAATAAATTTGGGTGTGGGAGAATATTATTTAGCATCCCGTTTCACACTCCATTCCAGTAGATGGCGGTAATTCACATCAATAAGTTTCTTGCCAACCGCCATGAAAAAAAGAAGAAGAAGAAGAAGAAGGTGGGGAAGATGAAAACAGAGCACGCGGGCTCGCTTTAGCTTTTCCTTTGTTAGACGGTTATTTGGAGAAGAGTTTGAGGTTTAGCTAATTTTTCCGTGTTTTCAGTGAAAATGTCTTCAGTTCAGCCTCAGAGAGTTTATCAAGCAGCAGGAAACTCCTGCTGAAGAAACATTCACAGAGTGGAAAGAAATCAACGTTAAGATGGAGGAAGAGATGGACGATCAGCGCAGACTGATGGATTTTACCCGGATACCCAAGATCATCTTGCACCGGATAGGTACGAAACAGCTTCACGGTTTACTGATTAGTGAGGTTAAAGAGAGTTTTTACAGATAAATAATCGTTGTGTTCGTAGACATATTTAAAGAATCTGCTTAAATTAAGTAAAAATAGAAATCCCTGGAGAAATGTAACCGGGCCTGCTAAAGTGTGGCCCCATTTGGACCCAGCGCTCTGATGCTAACAATTAGCATCAATGCTCAGCTAAACTGAATTATAGTCAATAACCTGTGGAAAGTCACAAGCATGTTGACTAACATGGACTTCCTCCATTCAGTTTGTTAAAATTAGTGTATAATCTAAATGAGCCAAAATGCTAATGTTAGCCTAAATGCTGCTAGTAGCATGTGGGGCATCATTACAATGTGGTCTTACATTGACTTCCTGCATTCAGGGTCCTAAACATGGCTAATAAGTAATAAAAATAGCTAGAAGCTTATTGCAGGGAAAAGTCTGATGCTTGTGCAGCAAAGCAGAGCCCTAACCTGAGAGGAAAAGATCATGCAGGCTAATATTATTGCACTGTCTCTGAGTCGGTTTCTCTTCGCAATATTTATTAACCTATTTGTATGATTTGTTCTGTAAATTGCCATTCATATTATTTCTCAGTCTCTATCACTGAGGGATGAAGAGACTGATGTCTGGTTCTTTAGGTTCTGACGGGTCTGCGGTTCCTCTCCTGACCCACTGTGCACCCTGAATATCGCCGACACAGTTTTTAATTCCCTATCAAACTTCTCTGTGATTGTTTAGCTAGAATGTGCTTCCAATGTTATGTTCTTTGATGTTATTGTTACAGGTCAGTTTTCTAAACTACAAAGAAATGACTGTTAGGGATGCTCCAATATGAAAAACTGGATTGATATTGATATCTGATAGTAACACTGGTGTTATAGCAGATTTACCAATATTTTATTTTATATACGTTTTTAATCCGATTACTTGATTAATCATAAGAATAATTAATAGATTACTCAGTTACTGAAATATTTGTTTACAGCAACGCTACTATCCATCCAGTTATCACTAGAAAATATTTATTGACTTTCTCTTTTATCTTGTCACATATGCTGAGCTGACAGCGCCTCTTAATGCTCATTTGTACTCAATGCATGTCAGCTATTCTGACAGAATAACGGCTCAAATTTAAGTTAAAGAAGGTCAGTGTTAGACCGCCCAAAGCCCCGCCCTCCACTTCATTGGGGAATTATTTTATGGTGACTGACAGGAACTGCAACCAGGTGATAATAATGATCACAACAATCAAAAGCATATTTAGTAACTGTCTTGTCTGGCTGCTAAATTTCCATTTTCATAATGTAAACTTAGTAAATGACTTATTAACTAACTTGTGTCTTAAATAAACTCGTTAAATAATTTTATCATTGTACATTTTCACCTTTCATATTTAATCTTCCAAATTGTCCAATATTCATGCTGGTAACTATAATTTCCTGAGGGAGTCTTCCCAAGGGATCAATAAAGTCAAGTCTAAGTCTAAGACTCTCTAAGTCTAAATATTTTCCATTGGTTCATTTTGCCATTATTTTCTGCATGTGTGCGATTAACAACAATCACCCACTGCTACCAATTCTGCTGTGAATCCCAGGAAAGTAAAGGCTGAGATTTAGTTGTGCTTTTGAACGTTTGTGTTGAGTGTGTGAGCGGAGCAATGTCTGACAATATCAGCGGTGAGGTTAAAAATTACTTTATGGTTTCCCTTTAGGCATTTTATGCCACTCTTT